CCGCAGCGGCCGCCCCCGCGGAAGCCCCCGGCGCGAGCCCGGCACCGGGCAGGGCCAGGGGGCGATCCAGCGCAGCCACAGCCCCCAGCGTCGGCGTGCGACCTCTCTTCCCGCCCGCCACCATCGGGAGGGCCAAGGCCAGCAACGCGAACTGCAGCAGGCGTCGGCTCCCCGCCCGCCTCTCCCAGCTTCTGCGTGTCGATGTACAGGTAGCCGCGGGGCGGGCGGTCGGCAGGATTGAGCTCGCTGGGGACCCACCGCGCGTGCAGCTGCAGGCGGCAGGCAAGCGCCAGCGCGCAGAGCTCGCGCAGGACGCTGCGGAGCTGCGCCGCCGAGCCCCGACCTTTCCCCGCAGCCAGGGCCAGAGACAGGTTGTCCACCAGAAGCACCAGGCGGTGCCCGAGCGCCCCGCGACCGCAGGGCATGCCGCAGCGAGGCGGACAGAGCGAGCCCCTCCGTGTAGTAGATGTCGTGCTTCTCGCGCCACGGGAAGCACATCGCGATCTTCCAGCAGGGGTCCTGCATGAAGGACGCCGGGACCTCGCCGAACTGCTTGTCCAGGTCCTTGACCGCCTCGCTCGGCAGCGCGGCGGGCCGCCGCAGCGTGGTCGCCACCCCCCTGCCTTCGAGCGCGTGCGAGCGGGCGGCGATGGCCTCATCGAAGTGGTACCGCCATCGCTCCACCGTCCGCCCCAGCGAGGCTGCAGCGCTGCGGCTGGCCTGCCGGGCGCAGACCCCGCCGCCCCGCGGCGAGGCGTCGGAGGCGGAGACCTCCGGATGCCACGGGGCCGCCAGGTGCGCGGAGAGCAGCGGCAGCAAGTTCCGCAGCGTGCGGAGCTCCCAGCGCACCGAGGCCCACAGGGGCAGGGCCTCGTCCCGCGCCGCCTGGCAGAAGCGGTAGCTCGCGTCGAAGATGGCGAGCGACGGCCGACGCAACAGCGTGATCCAGGTGCAATGCCCGAGGAGGACCTCCACGATCTCCCCCCGCGCGGACCCCCGGGCCAGCAGCTCGTCGATCGCATAGCGCACTCGCCGCAGGCGCTTCGGGGGCACGCGAACGCAGTGCGAAGGCCCGCACAGCTCCAGCCCCACGAACGAGCAACTCCTGCTGGCCCGCTGCTGCTCGTGCACCGAGAAGCCGAGGTTGACCAGCTCCGCCTCCACCCTCGCCGCGGTGGCGTCGACCTCAGACTGGCTGGCGCCAACCACCAAGTAGTTGTCAACATAGGCGGCGGCGCCCAGGCCGCCCTGCTTGCCCAGCGCCAGCCCCTCGCTGCGGTCTCGGACGTGCCGTGACACTGGCACTCCAGCCCGCACCAGGGCTGACTCCGTGACCATCTGACAAAGGTGCATCGCCCAGCTCCAACCCATTGGCAAGATGGCGAGCTGAGGGGTGAGCCAATCGCCACAATCAACAGCCGCGCCATCAAGAGAAGTGACCCCGACCATGCCCGCGCGAACCCGCCCGAGCTTGAAGAACGAGCAGAGGCCTGCTGGGATCCGCATCGCGTAGAAAGCGTTCTCGATGTCCCCGCAGGCGAAGAACAGCGGGGCAGAGGCATCACTCTCCAACCGAGAGAAGGACGCGGCCGACGGCAGCTCGGTGGCGGGCGCCTGGCGGAAGTGCAGGTTGACCAGCCTGGCGTCGAAGATGAGCCTCTGGCGGTCCCCCTTCTTGCGGACCGTGAAGGCCCCCAGCGTTGGGGCCTTCCCGTCCCACTTGCAAAACTGGAGCATGCCGCGACGGTGCAGCTGCTCGAAAAACCGTCCATAAACTTTGGGGTCTCGTAGCCCAGGGTCAGAGTAAGGAGCACGTAGTCCCAGTTCAGCGCGACGCTGAGCAGCCTCTTCCGGGCTTCGAAGCATGTTGGCCTCCCAATCCGACAGCCGCGCCGCGTCGGCCGGCTGGAGGGCGGACTCGAGAGACACAGGGGCCGTCCCCTCTGCTGGCCAGGAAACTTTGTCCTCGCTGTAGGATGCCAGGTCCGCCCGCTCCATGCCGTACATGGGGCAGGCGCCGCAGAGCTCGCGAAGGCTCCCGCGGGGGCACGCGTCGTCGGGCGGCCCCGGGAAAGTGGTGTACTGCTCCCGGATGTGCTCGAGCGCCATGTGCTGCAAAACTGAGGCCGGACGGGGGCAGCTGCCACTGCGCCCTGCCAGACCGTTGAGCGATCCAATGCCGAGGTTAGCCCACTGCAGCGAGTGCACCAGCCTATCCCGGCGACGCCCCACGGCACGGCAAGCCTGTCGTCGGGCAGGTAGATCGCGAAAAAGAGGAAGAGGAAACACATCTCGCTGACGACTGGGCCCCATCGGACCACAGGAGCGCGATGCCCAGGCCTGGAGGAGCCAGTGAGGGTCGGCCGACCTCCCTCACCGGCGGGGCGGGTCGTCGCCCCGTTCTCGTCACGTCTTCCCCTTCTTGCCGCCGCCGGCGCCAGGGCCCCCGCCCCCGCCGCCGGCTCCGCCCCCGCCGCTGGGTGCGGCCAGCTGCCGCTCCTCCCGCGCCTTGCGGCGCTCCTTTGCGATGCTGCTCTCGGCCTGCAGGCGGTCCGCCACCTACTTGGTGAGCTCAGGGCTGACCATGATGCCGCGCGTCGAGCCCATGTCGGTGAAGAAATACTCTTCGTCTTGATGGAGCCCGCCTCCGCCACGCTGCGACAAGATCTTGTCCTTGTACTTCTCCTCGCACAGCTGGAGCTGGCGGGCGACCAGTTCTCCACGCGCCAGGTTGGCGCCGTCGAGCTGGTCGTAGGTGCACATAGTCTGCATGAGCTTGCTGAACTCCGCGTGCATGTGGACGATCGGATCGTCGGGCCCGACCGAGGCCCCCAGCGACGCCTTCCACGCGACGTGGTGGCCCATCGGGGTCCCTCCATGCTCCATCTGGTACTCCGCCACCCACTGGAAAGTGCGAGGCCCTGGGACTGGCCAATCAGGAAAGCTTGTAGATCGGTTGCTCTGAACAGCTTCTCGAAACTCTCGATAGCGCAGTCCCTGACGATCATACCGCACAGCCAATGTGCGCAAATCATCTGAGCCCCGCTCGCCAGCGGTCGCGGCCTCAGCGCCGCCGACATCGGCAGCCCCGGGAGCCCCCCCAAGCGCGGCGGCGAGCCCCGCCAGGCCGCCAGCGGCGGGCGCGGGCGCCGCTGCCGCAGGGGCGCCGCCCCCCGCTGCGACCAAGGCTCCGGCTGGGGCCGCGGCCGCGGCGCCGCCGGCGGCGGCTCCCGCGCCAAGGGCGCCCGCGGCGCCGTGCCCGGCACGAGCGGGCAGGGCAAGGGGCGCTGCGCCGGCGGCGGCTCCGCCTCCGCCGAGGGCGGCGGGCAGGCCAGCGGCCACGCCGGCACCCAGCAGCCCGGCAGCTGCCCCGCCGCCCGCGCCGCCGTCGCCCGCCCCGCCGGCAGGAACCACGCCCAGCCAGAAGAAGTGCTCGGCCTCGAAGCTGGCCATGGCCACCTGCGCCTCCTGGACGACTCCGACCATCTGGGGCGCGGTCGGGAGGTTGGCAAAGTCGTAGTGGCCTCGTCCACCTGGCGCTGCCACCGCCAGGGCCCCAACGCCACGGGGCTGCTTGAGGTAGTACCCGCGCAGGTCGTGGTTCGCTGGCGTGAACTCCTCGACATACACGTCCATGTCAGGGGTGAGCACCGAGAAGGCACCAGGGATGCGAGCGGAGGCCACCAGCAGAAGCCGAGCATGAAGCAGTGGAGGATCAACATCGTACTCCACCCAGATCTCGTCCCCGACATTCATCGATACTGGCCGCCTCCCCTCGGCACCCGCGGGTCAGGCGTGCCCGGGGCCGCCGAGCCCTGCCTCGACGGCGGCAGGGCCGCCGGACGGGGCGCACCGGGGCAGGCCCGGCGGGCCCAGCCCAGGCAGCCGCGGAAGAACTCGAGGGCGAGGAGCACCGCGGCCCCCACCACGAGCTCAAGGGCCGCGCGCCACCAGCCTGGCGACGCCGAAACCCCGGCCCCGCACTCGCAGCGGCACTCGGGGCAGGGGCTCGGGCACACAGGCGCCCGCGAGGCCAGGCAGTCGCCCAGCGCCTCCTGCAGCGTGCCTAGCACCTGCTGGAGGTCCCGCGACGCCGCGGCGCCGCTGTCCACCCCCGCAGGCGCGGGGCTGGTCACAGGCGCCTCCTCCGGCGCCAGGGGGGCGGGCTGCGCCGCGAAATGCGCCAGGAACACCCCGGCGAAATGCGCGATGCCTAGCCCGGCCAGCGCGCGGGGGCTCAGCATCTGGAGACCTCGCGAGAGAACTGAGCCAGACAGTTTCGGAGGATAAACCCTCGCGGCACTCAATCGCTAATGAGATGACAAGTGAGACAAGACCATCATCATCATCACCACCACCACCATCATCATCATCATCATCATCATCATCATCATCATCATCATCATCATCATCATCATCATCATCATCACCATCACCATCACCATCACCATCACCATCACCATCACCATCACCATCACCATCATCATCATCATCATCCGCATCATCATCACCACCACCATCGTCTCATCACCATCACCGTCATCACGAAAGAACGCCATGCAACGCCGCGCACCATGGCAGTGAGAGGCTGCCCTTCCACCTCGGCCTCGGGCCCCTGGAGTCGGGGCGGGGGGGAAGCTCCATCTTGAACCAAAACGGCTACGGGAAGGAGGAGGAGGAGGAACAACAGGCAAACAAACAGGAGGACTGGTATAGTGAATCTGAGGGAGGGGGGAGGAGGAGGAGGAGGAGGAGGAGGAGGAGGAGGAGGAGGAGGAGGAGGAGGAGGGAGGAGGAGGAGGAGGAGGAGGAGGAGAGAAGAGGAGAGGAGGAGGAGAAGGAGAGAAAGCCTAGCAGGATCACGAGGATGGCGAGGAGCAGGAGGAGGGAAGAGGAGGAGGAGGAGGGAGGAGGAGAGGAGGAGGAGGAGGAGGAGGAGGAGGACAATAACGAAGTGAGTGGCAACGATGACGGACATGGCAGAGGCGACGGCGGCGGACCTCTTGGCGGAGGAAGGCCGCTTCGGTAGCTTTCTCGGGAGGTTCGAGTGCTCGGGCTTGAAGTGCTTGGACGTCCCGAATACGGGCGCCGTGGCCGCACCGCCGCCAGACCTTCCCCCTCGCCTCCTCCTCTGCTCCTCCCCTCCCGCCCTCCCCTCCCCTCCCCTCCCCCTCCAGGAGGAGGGGGAGGAAGAGGAGCATGATTAGGAGGAGGAGGATGAGGAGGGGGAGGAGGAGGAGGAGGAGGAGGAGCAGGAACACGAGGAAACGAATGGAAATAGCACGAATGATTCGGTCAGCCAGCACGGGCCCCCAAACTGTGAATCATTGCGCTGTGGAGGTGGAAGTTTAGCGGCGTAATCCTGGTGGTGTGAACTATGTTGAGTAAGCTGTGTGGGGAGAGCTGTTGAATAACAAGAGATTACTTGAGTGAGCTGCGTCGTGCAATCCATGCAGTTTGGCCGATGTGGTGTGGGCTTGATATGCTGAATGAGAAGTGCGGTGCGTGCTGTGCGCTGCGAGATATGATGCGTGAGCTATGCTGCTCACTCAGCGCACGGGGCGCCAACGACCGCCCAAGAGGCGCCACGGGCGGGAGCGTTCAGCGGACCCACTCAGGGCACGGGGCGCCCACGAGCATCCACGAGGCGCAATCTTCGGCGGAACCTCCCAAGGCAATGAGCGCCCACGAGCGCCCGTGTGGGTGTGGTGGCCTTGGCCGCTCCAGGTGAGACGCAGGCGCCACGACGCCCAATTCTGAATGCCAGTGGACGAGCCGAGTGGTACTCTGTCTAGGGACACACAAGCAAACCAAACGGAACGCGATAGAACGAACGGGTCCAGAGGCGCTGGCTGCGTCATTATCTATGGAGGTGTTATGTGTATGTTTGTATGTTTGTAAAACATACATGCTTATGTACACACCTCTAAGGAGTGGTTGTGTGCGCAGGGCCGCCAGCATCGTCGCTGAGCTGCGCCCTGGAAGTCAGTCTGTATCTCCTGTGGAATAGGAAAACAATTCCTCGCCAGAGCCTCTGCCGACCCGTCGGTGGCGCAGTCGGGGGGAAAAAGCGAGGGGGCGGGCCTTCTCAGAGGCCCGGGAAGTCTCCGGCGTTCTGGGAAGTTTTCGAAGCCTTCCCCGAAGATGCAGACAACTTCTCAGAAGGTGGGGGGGCTTCTGAGAAGCCCCGCCGAGGAGGAGGAGGAGGAGGAGGAGGAGGACGATGAGGAGGAGCAAGAGGAGGAGGAGGAGGAGGAGGAGGAGGAGGAGGAGGAGGAGGAGGAGGAAGAGGAGGAGGAGGAGGAGGAGGAGGAGAAGGAAGAGGAGGGGGGGATGATGATGATGATGATGATGATGATGAGGAGGGAGGAGGAGGAGGAGGAGGAGGAGGAGGAGGACGGAAGAGGAAGAGGAGGAGGAGCATGATGAACGCAAGGAGGGCCTCCTCCTACTCCTCCTCCTCCTGATCCTCCTCCTCCTCCTCCTTCTCCTCTTCCGCGCCCTCCACCCCCTTCCTCACTCTCTCTTTCTTCCCCTCCACGCCTGGCAGGGCAAGTCAATGATTCCCCTCCCCCTCTTCCTCCCCTTCCCCTTTCCCCCCGACGGCGACGACGGTGTTTGCCACCCTCCGCGACCTCAGGGACGGCTCGAGCAACACCCTGCCGGGCTCGCCGCCGCCCTGAGACCACCAGGTGTGGCACTGGTCGAGCATGTGCCTCAACCTCTCTGGCTGCGGGGAGGAGGAGGAGGAGAGGGAGGAGGTGGAGGAGGAGGAGGAAGAGGAGGAGGTTGAGGATGAGGATGATGATGAGGATGAGGATAAAGATAAGGATGATGATGAGGATGATGATGATGTTGATGATGCTGCTGCTGCTGATGATGATGATGATGATGATGATGCTGATGATGATGATGACGATGCTGCTGATGCTGATGATGCTGCTGCTGCTGCCGCTGATGATGATGAGGATTATGATGCTGCTTATGCTGATGATGCTGGTGATGATGCTGCTAATGATGATGCTGCTGCTGATGATGATGACGATGCTGATGCTGGTGATGCTGCTGATGATGACGCTGATGAGGAGGATGAGGAGGAGGAAGAGAAGGAGGAGCAGGATGAGGATGAGGAGGATGAGGATGAGCATGATGAGGATGAAGATGAGGATGATGAGGATGATGAGGTGGTGGAGGAGGAGGAAACGAAATGGGAATCTGACTGGGAATAATAATAGCACGATTGATAACAATCGGAATCTGTGTAGGTATCGGAGAAGTGACATCACTAGGAAAAGAAATCTGAATAGGAAAAGGAATCGGCACATTAATAGGAATATGTATAGGCATAAGAGAAGGAGGATGCGACCATGAGAAGGATGATGATGATGAGGAGGAGAACATGGAGGAGGATGAAGACGAGGAGGAGGAGGAGGAGGAGGAGGAGGGAGGAGGAGGAGGGGGAGGATGGGAGGGCGAAGAGGTGGAAGAGGAGGAGAAGACAAGCAGTATCACGAGGCTGGCGAGGAGGAGAGAGGAGGAGGAGGAGAAGGAGGAGGATGAGAAAAACTAGGATGATGATGAGGAGGAGGCGGAGGAGGGGGAGGAGAACTAGGAGGAGGCGGGGGAGGAGGAGGAAGAGGAGGAGGAGGAGGAGGAGGAGGAGGAGGAGGAGGAGGAGGGAAGGGAGCAGGAGGATAAGGAGCAGGAGGAGGACGAGGAGAAGGAGGAGGAGGAGAAGGAGGAGGAGGAGGAGGAGGAGGAGGAGGAGGAGGAGGAGGATAACGATGACGACGACGAGAAAGCACGGCTGAGGGGGGAGGGTGAGGAGGGTGGTGCAGGAGGGCAGATTGAGGGCCATTTGAGGTCCCTGCGCCCGCGCTCCCCCTGCCGGGGGGAGCAGGCCCTGGGCTTGCCGTTGTAGTGCTGGCAATGCGCGATTACTTCGCGAGCAACGCTGTTGAACTGCTCTTCTGCGCGGTCACCGCGCGCTCAACACGCAAGTGCTTGCCCAGCCGCGAGGCCGCGAACCTGCATGGCACCGTCGGGAGTGAGCTCACTGCTCCCAACGCAAGCGGCCGCAGCAGGCGCCGACACCAAGTGCCCGCCTGGTTCTCCACCGCGGAAGCACGGCATCCAAGCCAATGAAGCAAGAAAGCTCCGAGAGCGAGGCCGCTACATCCCGGAGCTGCCTCCGATGCGATATCACCAGCGCCAACCGCCAACGACGCTGCTGCGGTCGCCGTGCCAAGCGCAATGCTAGGGCGGCGGGTCGCGAATGGTCGCCAGCTGCCGTTCTCGCCGGCAAGGGTCGGGGCTTGCTAAAAGTGCTCCTGGCCCAAGGTGCCCCCAGCTTTTCGCTCGATTTTGAAGCCCTTGGGGCCCCCTGGGCCTAGCGAGGGGTGCTCTGGAGGCCGTTTCTAGCAACACCCGAAAAAGGGCAACCCGACACGCCGACGCCTGCAAGAGCACTTTCAAGGCCGCCCGCGCCCCACAAGCCGCCACGGAAGAGAAATCTGGACAACCTCCTGAAGTCGAAACTCTTATCGGGAAGGCGGTCCCAAATGCTCTCCGGATGAAACCCGCAAGAGCAAGGCGTGTGCGGGACCACCCAGGATCAAGTCGATCTGGTAGAACGGCAAGAAGACAAGGGGGGGAGGGGAAATCCGCCGCCCTTCAAGAGGGCGATCCCAGACGCGCATCCCGAGCGAGATCGACGGCAAGGCTGCGAACGCCCAAACCTGGAACGGCCCCGGGCTCGGGGGACCCGGGAGCAACTCGATGCGGACGCCCCGAAGCACAGCAAGAAGACCGAGGCCCGGCGAGCCGACGTGCCTGTCCAGAATGCCGCGGGGGGCCTCCCCACGCCCGAGCACCGGCTCGCGGTGTCTCGGCCTGCCAGCAAGAGGCTCGGCCCGCTGAAGCGCCAGCGAACCCAGCTTCAGGAGCACCTCGGCGCCCTCGGCACGACCGTCCAGGAGGGGCGCGCGACCCTCGGGGACAATCGTACCAAGTTGAGCTGCCGCACAGAAGAACTTCGTGAGAAGATCGGCCAAAGCAGCCGTGTCGCCACAGGGGCAGCAACAGGAGGGAACCCGTTCGCCATCGACTACCAGACAGCAAGACAGAAACCGCCGCGAGAGATCGAGACCGCCCATCCGCAACATGACCGAGGGCCCCAAAGGCGTGTCCGGCCAAGCGGCAGCAAGCCGCGCTCAATGCAACATCCACGTCGCGGCGGTTCGGGGGCAACGTGGCCTCCGCTACTGAGCGCGAGCCGCGGGAGGAGGAACATCGAACAAGGCGACTCAGCCAGGCTGTTCCGTCTCTCTCGAGCAGAATGCAAACTGCGCGCGAGGCCAAAGCCGAGATGAAGGCCATGGACGACCATCTCTAGGAGGCCTAACAGAAGCTCCACTGCCTCGAGCCCCAGAAGCGTTGCCAGCGACTCGACGATCTTCAGAGGGCCAGCGACCACAGAGCTCGAGCAGCCCAGAAAGCCCAGGTGGAGACGCAACACCCCGCATGTTTCGAGCAGGGGATCGACTGCAGAATCGATGTGCCCCAGAATTGCTTTGTGTTCGTCGGAGCCACGAGACGAATCGATCAACATTTAGGGCAAGTCAGTTCTGTAGTCGATCCCCGACTCGAACCCAGACATGCGACGTCCTGATTTTTTCAGGACGGCGTCCCCGCAAGTCCCGACCCTTCCCCGGGACCGGTTTTTCGTCCTGAGTCGTTTTTTGACGGTCCCGAGGCCCGGCGAGGACCTCTAGAGGGCGAAAATACCCCAAAACCGCCCGTCCTGATTTTTTTACGACGCCATCATGTCTGGGAATGTTGCCCCGAATCAAGCCACCAGCCCCTGCTGCCAGCATCCAGCACGGGCCTCCCCCCGGCCCAGTGGAGGAGGAGGAGGAGGAGGAGGAGGAGGAGGAGGAGGAGGAGGAGGAGGAGGAGGAGGCGAGGAGGAGGAGGAGGAGGAGGAGGGAGGAGGAGGAGGAGGAGGAGGAGGAGTAGGAGGAGGAGGTAGGGGAGGGAGGAGGAGGAGGAGGAGGAGGAGGAGGAGAGGAGGAGGAGGGAGGAGGAGGAGGAGGAGGAGGGAGGGAGGAGAGCGCCGCCCTCGCGCGACGCCGCGGCGGCGCGGCGCGCCCCATGCGGCTCCACGGGGCGCGCGCTCCTCTCTCTGCAGCTCCGGGAGGCATCTCTCCGAAAGGGCTCAGGCCGACCTCCTCCTCCTCTCCTCCTCTCCTCCTCCTCCTCCCTCTTCTCCTCCTCCTCCTCCTCCTCCTACTCTCCCTTCCTCCTCTCCTTCCTCCTCCTCCTCCCTCCTCCTCCTCCTCCCTCCTCCCCTCCTCCTCCCTCCTCCCCTCCTCCTCCCTCCTCCTCAAGCCCTGGCTCGACGGCTCCTCGACGTGGGCCTGCCTGCCGATGCCGCCTGGCCGGAGGGTGCGACGCCCGATGGAGCCCTGGCTCGACGACCTCTCGAGGCGGGCCCGCCCGCCGCTGCCGGCTGGCCAGAGCGTGCGGCGCCCGACGGCGGCCGAGGCCCGTGCCATCAGGACGGCGGTGAAGGCGTCGTCCCCCTGCGGTCGAAACGCTGCCAGGAGGAGCCCCAGGCAAGGAACGAGGCCCCTTTTGGCCATGAGGTGTTCAACTTCGATGCCCCATCGAAAGCCACAGGAAAACCCAAAAACAAGCCGTAACATCATTGAGGAACACGGCGCCCCTCCCAGGGCACCCGCTTCCACGGCCCGACTGCATCTCGCCATCGCTCGGACGGCCCTTCCCCGTGCACTTGTCGGTATCGTGCGTGCACTTTTTCCGCAAGACGACCCAACATTTCAGTCGGGCGTGTCCCCCTACAGGGGGATTTTCGATGACAAATTGAGCATACTCAAAAAATAGTCCAAAGTGGTCATGGTCAAACAAAACTCTAAAAATAGTCCCCTGACTATTTTTTTGACTATTTTTGAATTAGAGGGACAGGCACGACTTAACCCAACATGCTCCTCGATGGTCCCCGTCGAGAAGAATGCAAACGTCCGAGCGATGCCAAAGAATTGCTACGATTTGGACCCCACGATCTCCAAGGTCAGGAGGGCTGGAGGGGACAGGGGGCACCGGAGACCAGGGCTGAACCTAAACGGTGTTTTTCGTTTTCCTTTTCCCTTGCTTTGTCTTCACTCCCACCTCTACCGCAAAACGAAATCGAAACGAGAACGGCCCACGAAGTCGCCAAAAACACCGTTTAGGTCCAGCCCTGCCAGAGACCTCGAGGACTGGAGCACCGACGACGGTGCGCGGAACCCTGGGCCTTTGGGCCCTCGTGGCCACGCGGGGCCCCGAAAGATACGGCCGAGAATCGGCGGTGGACAAACCTCCCTCTAGTAACCCTCCCTTTAGTGAAAACCGCCTGGGACCGAAACCGACGGACCTGGATCCGCAAAAATGACGGCCGCGACGCCCCCTCGCGAACCGAAAACGGCCAATTCCTTAATCGACGTGTCAGGGTAGGAGGTTGTTCAACCTCCGAGAGAACAGGATCAAGAACGTTTGAATTTAAGTGAGCGACAAGGGGAAACGTGGAGCGAAAAGGGGATCAGCGAGTGTTCTCTTCGTGCTGGATTGATGCATTTTTCAGTACGTGTGAAGCGGCACTGCCACAGAGCAAGTATACTGTAAAGACATTCTCTGTGGTGGGGGATCGGGACGTATGGTGAGCATCCCCTGCCGCGCGCTTGCCTGCGCCGTGCGCGAATTACACAAATGCTTGAAACAAAAGTCTACGGACGGCGTTGCTGCGTCGATGCTTTCTGGAAAACTCCAAAGACAAGCCTGGGCCAATGTTCGTGTGAATGCTGGAAAGGCGAACGCGCTCCAGAAGCTGGGCCAACTCTCCGGCAAGTTGGCGAAGAAACGCTGGCCCAGCTTCTCGGGAGGATGTTTCTTAACCAGATGCTCAACTTTAGGCATCGACGTGGAGTGCATCGACGCGCTCGAAGGCCCGCCTTTGCCGCGGGGCGCCGCGGTCGATCGCGCCGGAGCGAACGCCGCAGACCCCCGCCAACAGCACACGGTGCCCTTGGACAACTCCCGGCAGTCACTGGGCACGCAACGAGCTGCTCGCAACGTCCCAGTGTTCATGCAGCAGGGCTGAACCCAAACGGTGCTTTTCGTTCTCGTTTTGTTTTCGTTTTCCCTCGCTCTTGTCTTCACTCCACCTCTACCGCAAAACGAGGTCGAAACGAAAGCGGCCCACGAAGTCGCCAAAAACAGCGTTGAGGTCCAGCCCTGTCATGCAGTGCATCCTGCCCGCCCTCTGCTGCGACACCCTGCGCAAGGTCACCGCTATCCGGTGTGCACGTCGACGCCGCGAGGGCGCGGCGCGGCCAAAGATGCAGAAGAGCGGCGCGGTGCGCAAGCCACAGCAAGGTGCCCGCGTCGCTATCTACCCAGAGCCCGACGTCAAGCGCACCACTCAGTGGGAGCCGATGCCCCAGCCTAAGATTGATTCGGGCGTGTCCCCCTACAGGGGGATTTTGGGCGAAACAATTCCAAAAAATACAACACAAATATTCAAACATAGTCAAAACATCGTTCCCAGACTACTCTTTTGAAATTCTCTTTTTGAATATTCCCCTGTAGAGGGACACGCCCGACTTGAGCCTAAGAGTTTCGATGGGCGGGCGCAGAGAAGGCGACAGCGATCTATTTACCAGGCTGAGGTTGATGCAGCACTGCTGTGGTCGCAGCGACGAGCGGCCCGAAACTCGAGTTTTCGTTCCAGTGCCAGCCGGGTCCAAGGTCATGGCGTCTATGCTGCATCGCAGGCTGAGTGGCACTGGCGCCGACGCGCGGATGCGCGACTCTCGGTGTGGTTTCCGCCAGGGCTGTGGCACTGCGGACGCGCTGAAACTGGTGAGGCGCATGGTAGACGCTGCACGCACCATAATCTCAGGCGGGAAGCTGTTTCTGACGCTGGACTCGGCAAAAGAGTTTGGCAGAGCGAGGGTGGACATCGTGTGACGTGCTATACGGATTTGGGTTGCCCATGGGAGTGGCAAGCATGATGCGGGCGATCTGGTAGTATGTCATACACGATCTCACGGGCCCATCTTCAGAGAGGCGCCGACGAACAACTATTTCCCAAGGGTTCGTGTTGTCGCCCTACCTCTCCATTGCCGTGCAAAGCGTCCCCGTGCACGACGTGTTTGACCGCCTCGATCTTCATGGCGAACTAACATTCGTGGTTACCAGTGATGTCCTATATGCGGATGACACGCTTTGAGCTTCGCTGCACCAGTGGAACTTGCAACATCTGCTCAACACGTTTGCCGAGGCACGAACAACGGTTTGGAGCTGAGATTGGATAGAACAGCCTAGATACAAATCTCGACAGGAAAGCTGATTACGAGGTCAGATGGTGGGCCCATTTCTGTGGTGCGAGAAGGCATGTATCTAGATGGGCTCACCAACTGAGATGGAAAAGCGGCGTCGGAATTGTCCTGCCGCAGGGGGGACGCGTGTTGGGTTCCCAGCAAACTGCGGAAGATGTGGTCCCATTCGCCAATGGGCCTGGCACGCAAACCGAATATCTACGAAGCATCCGTGCTGAGCAATCTTTTGTACTCCATAGACTCTGTATGGCCCCACTGTGGTGATCTGCTCCAGCGAGATGCTTCCAACTGCAAGGAAGCGAGACCCCTTCGGTGAATTGTGGGCATCTATTGTTTAAGCGTCTCACGGGTCACCTACGATGAAGTTCGACGCATATCGTCAGCAAGACCGCCCTCCGACATCTTCGCTTCGCGGCTACTCGCCCTCTACAACAAAATCGAGAGCAGCGGCGCCGCTTCCTTGGCCAGGGACCTGCTTTGCACCCCATAGGGGCCCCGCGAAGCTTGGTGGCCAACAGGCGACGTGGCCGTCGCCAGCCGCACTGGGCAATTGAAGTGCACAGCATGGCGTCATCTTCTCGCGGTTTGCGTAATCGTTCGCCTATCCCTCCTCCTGCTGCTCCTGTTCCTGCTTCTCCTCCTCCTCCTCCTCCTCCTCCTCCTCCTCCTCCTGAGCTGCTTAGTCCAACCGATCGTAGCGCCGATGGTATCATGAGGACTGTTGGCGAGGAGTCGATCGCAGCGAATCAAGGCAGGAGCTCCGGGCGCCCCTGCCGACCAGCTCACGCCTCCCCGAGGATGCATGGCCCTTGTGCTCGCCTGACAAGCGGCTGGCCGCGGTCCAAACTACGCAGGCTACGCGGTGGCGAACTGCGCCTGAGCCTACGCTGCGTCAAAACGCATCATACCAAATTCGTTATTTCGCGCCCTTGCTTCTGCTTCTGCTTCTGCTCCTCCTCCTCCTCCTCCTCCTCCTCCGCCTCCGCCTCCTCCTCCTCCTCCGCCTCCGCCTCCGCCTCCACCTCCGCCTCCGCCTCCGCCTCCTTCTCCTCCTCCGCCTCCGCCTCCTCCTCCTCCTCCTCCTCTTCCTCCGCCTCCGCCTCCGCATCCTCCTCCTTCTCCTCCTCCTCCTCCTCCTCCTCCGCCTCCGCCTCCTCCTCCTCCGCCTCCTCCTCCTCCGCCTCCTCCTCCCCTTCCCTCCCCCTTGGCCTCGGCGGCGTGCGGACCTTGAGAGCGGGTGGTGGCGTGCCTCCTCCCCGAGAGGCGGAGACGCTGCCGGACGACACGCGCCCGGCCACCCCTCGGGACTTCGGCGAGACCCCAACACATCCGACGACACGATCTTTCCCATCCGCGGCCCCCAGAGTTCCCGGCCCTTTCCCCGGGGGTGGATCCTTGTCGACGACCACGGAGCCAGGAATGCGCCCGAACGTCTCAGGCCCGCTGCGGAGGGGTCTACCACGCGCCGCGTTCGACCACCTCGCACGACGCCGAAGCCTCGAGCGACACGGCCTGGCGCCAAAGGGAGTCCTACGGCGGTGCTCGTCGCCGCAGCGGCCCTGCGGGGGCTGCCTCCTGCGGTGCGCCCCCTCAGTGCTGCACGCCGCCGCCCCGGGATCCATCTGCGGCGGCCCCCGGGCCGGCCACGGGCCCCGGAGGCCGACGCCCAGGAAACACTGGCGGATGGGAAGCATCATATCCTCGGACCTGTTGGGGCCCACAGGTCCGAGGATCTGATTCTTTCAATCCCCCCTCCCCTCCCCCATCTCCCTCCTCCCCCTCCCCCTCCCCCTCCCTCCCCCTGCTCCTCCCCCTCCCCCTCCCCCTCCCCCTCCCCCATCTCCTCTCCTCCCCATGGGCCCCCCCTCCCCCTCCCCCCTCCTCCTCCTCCGGCGCAGGCTCGGCGCGCCGGGAGCAGGGAGGGGGGCATCGAGAGGGGGCGGGGGGGAGAGGGGGGTGCGGCGCGGGGGAGGGGGGAGCAGGGGGGAGGAGGAGGAGGAGGAGGAGGAGGAGGAGGAGGAGGAGGAGGAGGAGGAGGAGGAGGAGGAGGAGGAGGAGGGAGGAGGAGGGAGGAGGAGGAGGAGGAGGAGGAGGAGGAGGAGGAGGAGGAGGAGGAGGAGGAGGAGGAGGAGGAGGAGGAGGGGGGGAGGGGCTCCTCCCCTCCCCCTCCCCCCCCCCCGTCGAGGAGGGCGGGCACCTCCACGAGGCCCGCCCCCCCCGGGGCGGGGGCGCCGGCGGAGGGTGTGGCGCCCACGGGCGGCCCGCAGGCCCTTGGCGCCTGCCGCCCCGCGCGGGGCGGCAGGGGGGTCCGCGGGCGGCCCTCGGAGGGCCGCGGCGGAGGCCGCAGAGAAGGAGGAGGAGGAGGAGGGGGAGGGGGAGGGGGGAGGAGGGGGAGGGGGGGGAGGGGGAGGGGGAGGAGGGGAGGAGGAGGAGGAGGAGGAGGAGGAGGGCGCAGGAAGACCTCGGGGAAGCGGGGTGCAGGAGCACCCGCGGCATGCAGGGATACCTCGGGGAAGCGGGGTGCAGGAGCACCCGCGGCATGCAGGAAGACCTCAGGGAAGCGGGGTGCAGGGATACCCTCAGGGAAGCAGGATGCAGGACTACCTCAGGGAAGCAGGAATGCCTTAGGAATACCCGCGGCGGCAGAGAGCCGGGATACAGGAATACCTCAGGGATGTCGGCGCTGGCAGTCGAAGGCGTGGGCGCTGGAAGGCACTCAGCGCTGATCGTGCTTGAAGCACCTGGGGCCTCCGCCCCGTCATTGTAGCCAATGGCAGCTGGGTTAGGAGGAGGACGAGGACGGATGGCCGAGGAGGAGCAGGAGGAGGAGGAGGAGGAGGACGAGGAGGAGGAGGAGGAGGGGCAGTGGATGAGGGGGATGAGAGGTCAGCGCAGGAGAAGGAGGATGAGGCAGCGGAGCGGGAGGAGGAAGGGGCGAGGACGATGATAGGAATGGGGGGGAGGAGGTCAGGGGAGACACGGAGGAGGAGCAGGAGGCGAAGCACGAGGGGGAGGGGAAGGAGTGCGCAGCCTCTCCAGCTCGAAGGTCCTCGGCACGGAGGCGTGGAACAGCCTGCAGCCCTCCTTCTTCTTGTCTTCTTTCTCCTCCTCGTCGTCGTCGTCCTCCTCCTTCCTCGCCTCGCCTTCTCCTCATCCTCCGCCTCATCCTCCTCCTCCTCCTCCTCGCTCACCCTCCTCCTCTTTCCGCCCTCCTCCTATGATACCCCCTTCCGCCTCCGCCTCATCTTTCTCCCACATATCCGTTTCCTCCTTGTCCCGTTCCTCACATAGTTCGTTTTGGCTCTTAAAGACAGGTGCTCCTCCGGTTGCAGCGTTGGCCATGTTTGAGCAGCGGCGCTGTGCTCCCGTCATCCAGAATCTCACTAACTCTCGACCCATCGTTGGCCACTTCTGGATCCGATTCCTTCCTCGCCGTTGTCGTCATCTCATTTTCAGTCCTTCGCCTTCTCCTGGCCATCCTGTCATCCTGCTCCTCCCGCTCCTGCTCCTCCTGTTGCTGCTGCTGCTGCTCCTCTTTCACAATGGCCCTCCTCTTCCTCCTCCTGCTTATCCGTCACTACCTCCTCCTCCTCCTCCTCCTCCTCCTCCTCCTCCTCCTCCTCCTCCTCCTCCTCCTCCTCTTCCAACGCACAAAGCACCCATTTTGATAGCGAAACGCACGATCTGGTCGCTGCAGGGGCCGAAGGCACCCAGAAACATCCCAATCGGCGGAGGAAGCAGACTTCACAGAAGCGGAAAAGGGGATGCACGGGGTAGGTCGGACGTCAGGTGTGGCGCGAGCGCGCCTGGCCGGCAAACCTGCTTCCCGCGCCAAGTGCCTGTAGGGCCAGCGGATTGTTTCCCAGAAAAAAGAACGAGGTCGCGTAGGGCTGGCGGATTTAACAGTTGAGATCGTCCCGAGCTACATCATATATATATATATATACACGCATTGGTGTACACATTCAGATCGATAAAGCACACTATTAGGTATACATAACCGTTTTTTTGCGGATGTCTCTGGCGAAATGCTTGTGTTGCAGCATGTGTTGAGGATGTCTCGGGCGAAACGCATTGACCTAAATTTTGCTCCTGTCCTATCCTTTGCGTTTTGCGCCTGCTCTTGTAGGTCACCCTAGCGAGAACTTCAGAGCGGGAGAAGCGTGAACACACGTGGGCTCCTCACGCCCCAGAGCTGGGCCGGCTTGGAACCACGTGGGAACCTGACGCCCCAAGGTGGGACAAGCGTGAAAACACGTACACCCTGCGAAATGCTTAAGAAATCATGGGTTAAGAAATTCATAGTCTCAGAACTTGAATAAAAACCAAACATTTCTATCAAAATCGTGGGATTTACATTGAAAGCTTAAGAATAATCGAGACTCTGGACGAAAATTTAGGTTTTCTTAAGCATCGCCTACAGTGTAGGCTCCCAACGGCCCAGAGCGGGGCAAGAATGACAACGCTTGCGCTCCTGGCGCCCCAGAGCGGCATAAGCTTGGAAACGCTTGGGTGCCCAACGCCCCAGAGAGCGGGGGCCAAGCGCGCACACGTGTGGGCTCCCGGCGCCCCAGCCCGGGACATCGCGTGAGAGCACGTGGGGCCCTGGCGCCCCGGAGCACGGCAGGCGTGAAAGCACGTAGGTTCCCAACGCCCCCGAGCGGGGCGGGCGCGAGAAAGCACATGCGTCCCTCACGCCCCAGAGCGGGACGCATGTGACACACGTGGGTTCCTGACGTCCCAGAGCGGGAAAGGCGTGCGAACGTTTGGTTTCCTGACGCCCCGGAGCGGGACGAGCGTGAAGACGTTCAGGTCTTCAACGGCGCACATGGAAACACGCGGGTCCCTAATGCCCCAGAGCGGGACAAGCGTGAAATCACGTGGGTTCCGAACGCCTCCGAGCGGGACCCGCCTGAAAACACGTGGCCTCCTGACGCCTACGAGCGGCTTCCCTGCCGCTCTCCCTCCCGATGCCGTGGCGCGTCCGTCCTGCTGCTGTCGGTGGTACTGCTGGAGTTCGTCGTGTTTCTTACGAGGAGGACGAGGAGGAGGAGGAGGAGGAGGAGGAGGAGGAGGAGGAGGAGGAGGAGGAGGAGGAGGAGGAGGAGGAGGAGGAGTGCTCTTGGGCTTCGTCGAGCTGCTGACCGGGGTGATGCCGAGGCCTGTCGTGCTGCTCGCGACGGCGCCGCCGGAGGCCCGCGGGCTGCTCGGCATGGGCGGCGCTGCCAGCATCCGCCCTGCAGCTCCCAGCGCTGCTGCTGGGACCCGTGCTGCTCCCGGCAGGGCTGCCGGGCTTCGCGCCCGCGGGTGTGACGGGCGGGGGCGAAGCCCTGCGAGTTATGGGAAACGCCATTTTCCTCAAAAAACCGTACTCGATGAGCTGGAATTGCGTTTCCCATAATTTTTCATCATGGGAATCGCAATGCCGGACGACTGCCGCCGGGCGGCCCGCGCCAGCTGGAGCCCTGACATCCGGCTGCTCCAACTTTTTCGATGCGTGGGCCCCAGAGGTCTGGACCCCTTCCCCGGGGCCGGCTTTTCGTCCTGGGCCGTTTTTTGGCGCTCCCGGGGCCCAGCAGGGGCCCCCAGAGCCAGAAAACGGCCCCAGACCGCCCGCTCCAATTCCTTTGGAGCGTCGGATCTCTGGGAGTGGCGGGCGGCACGCGCCAGCTGGCGCTGCGGCTCAAGGCTCAAAGGCTCAAGCGCGAAGCGGCTCAAGGCTGGGCGGCGCGGCTGGGCCGAGCCACGGCGGGCTGGGGGCGAGGCGCTGACGCGGGCATGGAACCACGCCTCGCGGGCTGCCACCAGCGCGACGACGGCCTGGGCTGCGTCGGCGGCGAGCTGCAAGGGCGCCGTCACGCAGGCCAGCTGCGAGCGTGGCGGCTTCGAGGCCCCGTGCTCGCTTCACCACCGGCTTCGGTCCTGTCGCCCTGGCCTAGGGGTGGTGCTTGGTCGGCGGCGGGCTGTGGGCCGGCATGCGCCTCGAGCAGATCGCGCACGGGGCCGCTTCGCTGCCGTCCAGGTGGGGGCTGCTGCTGGAGCGCCAGGATGGGCCGCGATGCCGCCCTGGCACCGCGCGGTCCGGGCCGAGCTCGCAGCTGCGACCGGACCGCGGCGCGTGATCCTCCAGCGCCCCTCCGACGACGGGGAGGCCGCCCTGGACCTCCTCGCGGCCGGCGGAGGCGTGCCGCGGCGGGACGCCCCGGCGCGCGTCCTGGGCGACGCCGCGGCCAGGGGCCAACGTGGCTGCCTCAGGGGCTCCGACGCCGCCCGTGGCGGCCCCGCTGGCGCGCCCGGCGGCCCCGCCCAGGCCGCCGCCCGCGGGTTCGGCCATGCCGCTGCCGGGGCCGCCAGGGCCGCCAGGGCCGCCAGGGGCCCCCCGGGGCCACCAGTCGGCCACGACCTCCGACAGCGCTCGGGAGGTCGTGGGCGCCTGGCGCCGCCCGGGGGGGCGCCTGAGGCCGCACGGGGCCGCCGCCGACGCCGCGGGAACGGCGCCCGAGGTCCGCGGGGGGGCCAGGACTGCGCGCGACGCCGCGGGAACGGCGCCCAACAACCCTGCGCCAACACTGCCAACACCTGTCTCTCCCGAGGTACCCTGGGGGCTCGGGAAGAGAAAGGCTTGAGCAGAGGTTACCGCATACGGCGGACGGCTTCTGCGAGGGGTTGTGTTACAAACTCGTGTGGGACACTGCATGGTTGCTGCTGGCAATGGCTCATTACTATCATTATCCGCCACCGTGCCGCTGGGCACGAAGTGGGCGTGTCCTCAGGTTCTTTGCCCAATCCCCTGGGCCTGAATCCTCGATCCTATGGGTTAGGGGCCCAGACCCCAAATTCTCAAATCTGCCGGGGCTCCCGGCATGCCCGCTGGGGTTCCCCGCGTCTCCCCGCGTGACTTTTTCGGGCCACAGGGGGCACCAAGACGGGCCAAGAGAGCCTCAAGAGACTCCCACGATGGTCCAAGAGGGCCCCGAGACGCTCAAAGATTGCCCCCAAACGCCTAAGATAGCCCCAAGACGGCCCAATAAGCCTCCAAGACGCCCCAAGAGGTCTCCAAGGGGCCTCCCAAGAGGCAACAGTCATGAATTTTTCTTAGGTTTTTGAAAGATATGGGCGTTGTCGCCTTTTCGTCTCCCCGACGCTCCAAGGCTGCCCAAGGAGGCCCCAAAGATCGCCCCAAGACGGCCCCAGAGGCCTCCAGAGGGCTCCAAGACGGCCCAGGGGGACCCTAAGACGGCCCAAGAGGCGCCCAAGACGGCTCAAGAGGGCCCCAAGACGGCCCCAATAGGGGCCCCAAAGCGGGAACCCGAACCGAAACTTTGACCCCCCCGCCCCAAGAGGCCCCCAAGGGACACAAGTGGCTCCAAGAGGCCCCCCAAAGGCCTCAAGAGGCCCCCTAAGAGGCTGGAGAGAGGCCCCCAAACAGCCCCCTAAGCTTGGGGCTCCGAAGCTGCCTCCAAGAGGCCCCCTCGGAGGCCGCCTAAGCACAATATCCCCGCAAACACTCAAGAGGCATCTGACCAACAACCCAGGCACGGTGGCGGGGTGGGCCGAAGGTCATTAGATAGGCATCCCCGCCTGTAAGAAGTGCCCCCCCTCAAGCCGCTCTGTTTTTGACAACCGACTGCCGTGGATGCGAGGCCCGCGTCGAGTGCCTGAGGCGGTGAGAAGACAAAGGACTACTCACCAGGAATCCTCTGAAAACTCATGACCGTTTTCGCCCCTTCTGCTGCTCCTCCTGCCCTCCCTCCGCGTCACCTTCCCTCTCCCTCTCCCCCTTCCTCCTCTCTCCTCCCCCTCCCCCTCTCCACCTCCACACTCTTCCCCTCCGTCCCTTCTCGTTCCCCTCCATATGTTGCCCCTTCCGTCGCCCTCCCATCCCCCTCCTCCCCCTCCCTCTTCTCCCCCTCCTGCCCCCTCCCCCTCCTCTCTCGCCACCCGCTCTCGACCCTCCGTCTTCCCCGTTCCCCTCCTTCCCCCTCTCTCTCTCTCTCTCTCTCCTCCCACCCCTTCTCCCCTGCCCCCCCAGCCCCTGGGCCTGTGGTGGTCTGCGTGCTGCGTTCGGTTGGACGAGGCGCAGACCAGGAAGGGCTCGCGGAGGAGCCGCCGGCCCTGGAACAGGGAGACGATGATGCGAGCGGACTCCGCACCGTCAGAACCTGGCAGGTGGAGGAGGAGGAAGCGGCGGAGCAGGAGGAGGCGGAGGAGGAGGAGGCCGATGAGGAGGAGGAGGAGCAGGAGGAGCAGGAAAATGAGTAGGATGCTGCTGCTGCTGCTGCTGCTGATGATGATGATGATGATGATGCTGATGATGATGATGAGGATGATGCTGGTGCTGCTGATGCTGATGATGCCGATGATGATGTTGACGCTGCTGCTGATGATGATGCTGATGCGGCTGATGATGATAAGGATGACGATGCGGATGATGATGCTAATGACGAGGAGGAGGGTGAGGAGGAAGAAGAAGAGGGAGGAGAGGAGGAGGAGGCTCTGGAGACTCTGGATGACGACGAGGTGTGCCGAGAACGATGCACCAGGCCAAAGCGGTAATCATAAGGACGAGGAGAGGCGACCGCAACGCATCGCCTCGAGCGTTTCTGCGCCCACGGGCGCGGCGAGTCCCTGTGACGGCCCAGGCAAACATGGAACAGGCCCCTCAATGCCCGATCGTGTCGCTGTCCCTGGGGATGCTGCTTGCAGGCTCTAGCCTGCCACGCGCGAGAAGAAAACAGCAGGTGGGCAGGGCGGGGCGGGAGCTGCCTTCGGGCAGCCCCAGCGCAGGACCCGACCCACGACCCCACCATCACCCAGACAAACATGGAGCATGCTCCTAAATGCCGAATCAGTGTCGCTGTCTCCGTGGTGAGGGATGGTGCGTGCTGGCTCTGGCCGGCGACGGCCGAACCCTCCCGCCTCCCTCGCGACGCCTCGGGCGAGGATGGGCGCAGGCTTCTTGAAGCCAGTCCCCACCTTCTGACCTGACGGACCCACGCTTGAGGTGCCTCGCGGACCCCAGGGGCGGTCTCTCAAGACAAGGTTTGGATATCAAAAAGGCACTGGAAACACACCTAGCAGCGTATTCAAGGCACCAGACCATGGGACCAGTCCGCCAGAGCTTGTGGGACGGGCACGGTTCGCGGACCCCTTTGGGGTACCCGCAGCACGGAACAAGACACCTGTCATCCACCCATCGTCCCTGGAAGCGCTGAATTCGGTGGCCCCCGTCTTCGCTCAGGGCTAGGCTAAGGCCGCGCGCAGGCCTTCCCTACGCGCCTCAGGGTCAGTGGGGCTGCCGCCTCCCTGAGTTCTCGCAGCTGCTCGGGTGGCCGCTGACGAGGGTGGCAGGCGGCGCCCTGCTTCGCATGCCTGTCCGCAGCGCAGTTCCCCCCAATTGGAGACGTCCACGCCGCGGCTGCTGGCCTGCGCCCTCGTCACGCGCAAGGGAATCCAGACCGCGTCGATATCTGAGACGCCAATGTCGAGCACGAAGTCCAATATTTTCTTGGACAACTCCATGCACTGATGCTTGGGCTGCAACCGTAGGGGTATCCTTCTACCCGTGCCTGCTTGAGATCTTCGTCGTCCGTCACAATCGTAATTCGTCCTTCCGACTTATTCTTCGGCGTTTTGATGGCGGCCCAGATCTCCCCAGCTCCTGATGACTGCTACGGGTATGGCACTGGTCGCGACGCAGCCGCAAACGTATCGCCCTCTCCTTTTACCGCAGCAAAGGACCAGCCAGCACGAGCCCGAACATCGCATTTTGGGCACACGCGGCTGCCATCGGTACACACCACACCACTGGTGACCCCCGCTGACTGTGCACGCGTGCCAGTTGATGATGTCCTCAGTGGTCGGCAAGGGCGAGTCGAAGGTGGGATCGGGCATGAGCCCCTTGCACGTGAGCATGGTGACGGGATGCTCCTGTCTGTGCTCGCGCCTACCCCAAAAGCCTTCGCTCCTCTGCCGTCCAACTCTGCCTCTCCACTGCGTACCCGTCGCGCCTGAAAATCCGATGAGTGTCCGTGCCATCCTCAACTCCACATATCACGCACATCGGGCTCTCCACCGCCCTGGCTTTGAAAAGCCGCGCCTGACAGAAACGCCCGCTAGATAACCAAATCCTGACCAACCCAGCACCTCCAAGATCGTCTGGACGATAAGGAGCACTGATGAGGTCTTTGGCGGGCTGCAGCAAGGGTGGACCGATGGGGCCCTCTATGCCGCGACTTCTGGGGATCTCGGCCACCGGGCGCCTTCGGGTAGCTTGGTTGATGATTTCTCGAGCGTAGATGGCCCCGAGCTGTGCAAGTCCAGCGCCACCCCGCGCCCAGTTGTCCAGCGACCCCAAAGAATAGCTTGCCACCCCAGCCTTCTCAAGGTCATGATGACAACACCTGCTGGCCCTCGAACTCCGTGTCAAGACTGGATTTGGTTCTGCCCGTTCATGAACGCCAGAGCCATCGCTGTGCGCCGTGCCCACTTGCCATGTAGAGCCTGCAGCCAATCCACTATAGGGTACTCATCTGCAACAAAGGTGGGGCCCGCCCGTGGATAGTTTGACACTTGAACCTCAGCGGTGCGGCATGCCCCTCTTGCAGTGCCAAAAGTGTGTGTCCAGCAATGGCCCTCGCCTGCTTGAGCTGCGTGTCAGTCATGCCTTTCACTTTGATCGCGTGCGCCACTGAAGTCAAGGCACCGCCGCGAAATAATCTGCCCAACTGCCTGCCTCCGAGTGCCAGCCGACGGTATCTAGCAATCCCCTTAGATGTCTATTTGACCAATGCTCGCTGCGCTGGCCCTGTCGCGCCACGTCGCATGGGGCGGTCATGTCCCAGTTGCCGTGCGGCTCTGTGTCGCCTGAACTGGTACTTCTTGAGCGCAATGACATTCTCTCTCTTTCTCTCTCTCGAGCTGGGGCGAGATGGCAATGGCATGTCAATTGTTTGGGCTGATTTCCAACCCTAGGTCCACTAACTCAGCGCGCAACCGTCTGGCCGCTGAGACGATGGCTCTCAGAACTTGGTCGTGGGAACCTGTTGCCTGGAGGCTGCCATCATCAACGACATGCGCAAGGCTGAGAGACGGCCGCGACGTGTATATGTGCTCGCAAGCCCCAAGCGTGTCGCCATTATAATTGTGGTGGCGCAAGAACATCCAGCAATGACGCCGTTGTTCGCCATGGCAAACTCAGCAACCTAAGTGCCAAATCTGATCGCCCTTCTTCCCGCGTGAGACTTGAGAAGCATTGCGAGCCTCGAGCGCTTGAGCCCGTGCCTGCGCCCAACCTCCCACACTTTCGCATTCGGTATCTTCTCGAAAGCCTTCTCGAGATCCAGCGTGACCGTGTCTGTGTGCCTTTTGAGCGCCAAGCCTGCTTCATCCATGACGGATTGCGTCCAAGCCGCCTGCCCTGGGCTTCTCCTGGCGACCGCGTAGTGATGACTCTTGACATTCGCTCCGAGCCTTTCGTATTGGCTCCTCTTGTGGCACTTGTTGTGGATCCTCAGAGTGTCTGCGAGTGGGCCAATGAGTCGATGACCACTTTCTGGCCTGGGCAATCTGGGCATGATGGCGGTGGGTATCTGAGGCGGCGGCTCACCTAGGGCTTCCGCAACCTTCATGATGTCAGTGAACACCTCGAGCGGGCCATCGGATAACAACGCCATGTTGCGCGGCCCAAGGTTGTCCACCCCCGGGGCAGTGCCACGCTTGAAGCTGGCCGCTTCCCCGATGTGCTCCGCATCCAGCATCGGCGCATCGTCCACAGGTGTCCGCGCTCGTAGCCCAACACCACAACTCTCTTTCCGTCGCGCAATCGCCATATCTTCTTCAATTCCGCCAGGTCAGGGTTCAGCTTGGAGGCGTGATATTGGATCCCACGCGCAGGGTGGATGCCAGCCTGCTGCCAGGATGCAGGTAGCTTCGACCATATGTGTGCTTTCTTGTCTCCAGTCTGAACAGCCTCAGCGGCTAGCGCCTTCCACTGTCGCACCCTACTCCTGGCGAGATCTTCCTCGATCCTGGTCGTTTCCATAGCGGCGCTCCAACTTGCGCGTCTAAGCCAGTCCTCTTCCCACGAAAACCCACAGTCGTATCTGTAATGCTACATCCAATGCGGGCCCATGTCTACCTTCTTGTTCTTCAGGTTCCTCATGGTGTTACACGTGTCCGCTACGAACTTGCAGTCCTGATGCCAATTCATCTTCAGCGCATGCAGGGGGTCCACCGTGGCCATTGAAGCCCGCCGCCACATCCGTGATGTAGCGTTGCCTTCAGCGCCGTGCCCCGGAGATTTGCGCATACTCGCCACCATCTTGAGCTCTGGCCATGGCTTCTCCCCGCGGCCTTGACAAACTTTGCGCAACCAGTCGTCCAGCTGGTAACGGTCCGCCAACTCCTGTTTAGCTAACCTCTGCCACTCAGCGTAGCGGCACTGCAGGTCTCCTATGTCCCGACAGTGCGCGCACTCTCCGTGTATGCGCAGATGCGACGGCGGAGGTCGCGGCACTCCTGCCGAGCACTCCTTCGGGAACGTCTTCGGTGCTTTGAGGTGTGGAACTGGGTCCAGCGCTCAGCCTCAACCGAACTCCCCAGTGTGTAGCAATGGAAGGCCCATTAATCCTCTCCCCCCCCCCGTGACAAAGTCCTTGAAGTGCTTGCTGACGACGAGACAGTCTAACGCCCGCCCACCTCCGCAACACACATATCCATTGTGTTGGCGCAGCGATCGTCGCGGGAACGCGCTGCGCCGCTCGGGGGCCCCGCAACTCAGACGGGGCCATGTTCCAGCCACCCCCAGTGGTTAAAGGCCTGCCATTTTTTGAAATGCTCCATGCGCGTCATGAGTACGCGTTTGTAGGCGTCCCCAAACTCCTTGATCTTGTGTCTAGAGACTAGGCAGATGGATGCAAGCATGAAACCACCTGGCAACATGCCATCCACCCGCTGCGTGGTCCATCTCCATGCTGGTGGTGCCGCTCCTCCACGGTCAGGCGGCGCCGTGGAGGCCATGTCTTGTCGCGCACCGACTGCTGCGCCCGAGCTGGCAGCCCGCCCTGCCCCTCTGCGGGCTGGAGGCAGGTGGCAGTTCTAGCGCTGGTGGCGAAGCCGCGGCGCGACGTTGCCTACCACCTCACTCGGCAACTTGTGCTCATGGAATATGGTCCCGTCCGTGCTCGGGAACAGCTAGAGCACCTTATTGCCAACCAATGCTATCTGAGCTGCTTCCGGCTGCGCTGCAGTGATGTTGGATGTCGACAGTGAAGAGGCTCCACTCTCGAATGCTGTTCGAACCATCTCCACGAGACTGACGCACGCGAGTCTCCAGCCCACCTCGCTGAGGTCCAGCTTCGCCGCAAACCTGGGCCCTCTGCTTCCCCGCGGCCTCCGCCAATTCGTTCATGGTCCAACTGGGCCTGCCTCTCGTGCGCGTCTGCTCCGCAGACGGACTGGCTCCAGTCGGTGTAGTCGAAATATTGGAAGCAGTAGGGCCTCCTCTGCGCGCCTCCCCGGGGGCCGCGGCCCACTCACCAGTGGCCCCGTGGAGCGGAGTACTCTGGTTTAGGGCATCGACCACCTGCCCGTCGGCAGCCCGGCCCAGGGATTCAGCGCTGCTGCTTGCCGGATGACCAGCTCCCTGGGTGGCAGCGCCTCCTCTGCGCACTTCCACGGGGGCTGCTGTCCACTTGTCAGTGACCCCATGGGGCGGGCTGCCCTTGGCGCGGGCGTCGGCCACCTGCCCGTCGGCAGCCGTGTGAAGGGATTCAGCGCTCTCACCAATATGTCCACCATCCATCAAACCGCCGTGCGCTTTGACTCCATTTTGCGTGGTAGCTGCCTGCCACCCGCTTCGTAGGGTATCTCGCCATTGCTTGACTTCTTCGTGCAAGCGGCTAATCGCTAATACAACATCCCATTCAGCTTCCCCCCAGACCCCACCTGCAAGATTCACAGTCGACTCGCTTGCCATCTGCTTCAGCTTGGGCAGGAGCTGGGGGCTGGACCTGTCTCCGCTTAGCTGCGGCGGAGGCATTGGCCGCAACGAGGCACTCGAGAACTCGTGCCCTGGCAGCCTTGACCCGCTTGCGCTCATCCTCCTTGTCGACCCCGTCGAGCTTGAACCCAGCCTGAAGGAAGATGTCCTTGCAGTCGTCCTCGTCGTGCACAGGGGTCTCTATGTGGCCCAACGTATCATCGTCAGGATCAGGATCGCTGTCAGAGCCCACTTTGTGCACTGACCCGCCTTCCTTCGATGGTGTCTTCTCCGCTTTGTCGTTTGGCTGCTGCCCGAAGGCTTCAAGCGCTTGTTGTGGCAATCCGAAGGGTTCTTCGAGACAGCTCGGGATGTTCTCGCTTCCCATCTTCTTCTGAATGTTGGCTACCTTGCCGCGCAGCGCCACGCCGCCGTAGGATTGCCCGCGGGAGAAGGCCCTTCAACATATTCTTGCAATGGTGCTTCAGCTTGTGCCTCCTTGATCCTCTTCCTCCGCTCCTCATGGTTGGCGACAATTAGCTTTTCAACATCTGTAGCTCGCGTGGCTTCTTGCAGTTCGAGATTTCGCTCCTGTAGACGCTCCCGCGCTTTGTCGAGCTTCTTGCTGATGTTCTGCGTCCACTGCCCGAGCTGGAACGCAGACGTGCCATTGTAGTTGGGAGCTGGCTGTTTGCCCTCTGCCTCGGTCTCCACAGCCTTGTCCCAGTACACAACAGGGTCCTTGCAGCCGTCAGGCCACTTGGTCCTGTCTTCACCGTGTGCCTTGGCCATGCTCTCCAGCATGGTCTTGGTAATCTTCGGGTCGTACTCCACGCCGTTGGTGTTGTCGCTGTCATCCTTGTTCTTGGCATTGAGGGTGGGGTCGGATTACTTGCTATCCCCCAGCATCGGTGGCCCCGCTGCCCACCTGTTGGGCCGCTCAAGCTTGCCTCCTGCCCCTTGCTGCCAAGATGAAGTGTTCGTACTCTTGGACCACGGCGGTTGGTGCACGTGTCCAGCCTGTCCATTATTTTCACGCACCGTCTTTGGCGCCTGCTTGCCGCACCGCAAACGCGAGGTCCTAAACCCGTAGTTCGCGAACGCAGTGCCGTAGAGCCTGGCGCAATTGCCGCAGCGCCACGACGGGTGCCGCTGAGCCGTGCGTGGCTCGCCAGCGCGAACCCCTTCGAAGCACACGCTGGCAATCAGAGACGAAATTCCTGGCCGAAAAGGCTGGAGGAGGAGGATGAGGATGAGGATGAGGATGAGGATGAGGAGGAGGAGGAGGAGGAGGAGGAGGAGGAGGAGGAGGAGGAGGAAACGGAGATGGAGGAGGACGAAAAAACGGGAGGTTGTTGTCGCAGCCTGGTGCCAGCTGCACACTGCGGGCAACCTCCCCGTGCCGCCTTGTCTGGCATGGGCCGGGAGCGCGTGTGGTAGGGCCAACATCGGAACAACTCTGCACCAATGTGTGGAGCCAACCCAGGCTCCCGTGCCGCACCGCCCCCATCGCCTCCCTGCCCCACCTGTGGGGGCAGGGAGGGCCGGGGCCTGGGAAAGAAAAGGAATTAAAAACAAGAGCCCGTGCCATTCAGCCTCTCCCTCACGAGGACTTGCACCACGCAAAAACAACCAAAATAAACATGGCCAGTAACTTGCCCAGCATTCCAAATCCCACCTCCAAAACGAGCGGCGCTGGCACGACCAAAAGCACACCTACCCCGAGGACGCGTAACGAGGGATACAGCCATTGGCGATCCTCGTGCCATTCTATGCAACCCCCAGGGTGACACAAGTACATGTGTGAACAAGAGAGTCGGACAACAGTCGAGCTCCACAGCGGACGACGGTTGACACTATGAAGGCAACAGGGCCTGCTCCCAAAAGGAATGGAAACCTAAGTTAATGAAAACGGTGCAAGAATGCGTGCTTCAAAAGACACGGTTGTCTGCGTCCCTCTGGCCCGCAGGGACACCATGCAAAGGAGTAGAGGAAAGGCGACGACGGAAACGAGGACGACGTGAAGGGAGACACATCTTGTTGGCCAGACGCGCCAGAAGTGAGCCCACTGAGGGCCAGGTCACATGGGTGGACAGGTACGAACATGTCAGCAAAGTGATAGGAAGACGAGGCCGCCTGTAGCCGCGAGCCTCGCGACCCTGAAAGCCCGTGGAGACCCCCACGAGCTCAGCCCGCACGGCGCTGGTGGCCGCAGGTGTGTGCGATCGTTAGCCGCTGTCAGTCGCACGTGTTCCTGCTGTACGTGCTGATCGCGTTCATCGTGGGACCTCGTCAAGGTGATCTGTTCCCAGCGCTTGGAAAAAACACATCCGGACGGACACTTCTCCTCGTGTTCGGCCTCTGGGGGCCCTCGCCTGGCCCCAGGACCACCGTAAACCGACCCGGGACGAAAAATCCGTCCTGGGGGAAAGGTCTGGAGCAAATCTCGGGAGAGGCCAAGAGGGGGGTGTCCAAGAGAGGGGGGTGCAAATCATGACCGGCGGCACGTGCGCGGCCCAGCGGGGGGGCCCAGGGACGTAATGAAACAAGAAAGGGCGCCATGAGATCTGGGGAAAAATCATGGCCCTTGCCATGATATCCACCCCCCCCTAGTCATCACCCCCCTCTCTTCCGCCCCCGAAAATGAAGAGCGCGCGGGGAGGGAGAGGAGCCGGGGTAGGATGGGGCATGAGAGGGGGTGCTTCGTTGGTTGGGCCCCTGCGGATCGAGCCTCGCCGTCGCGGGCTCACCTTCTGCAGCGTGGCCGCCGGGCGGAAGGCGACAATCGGATGCCCCGGCCCGACCCGGCCGGGCCCCGGCCGGGGAAGGAATGAGGAGGAGGAGCGTGGAGGGCGTGGGCCGAGGAAGGAGGGATGATGATGATGATGATGATGCTGATGCTGATGCTGATGCTGATGCTGATGCTGCTGATGATGATGATGATGATGATGATGATGATGATGATGATGATGATGATGAAGGGAGGGAGGGAGGGAGGGAGGGAGGGAGGGAGGGAGGGAGGACTGGAGGGATGGGAGGGAGGGGGGGGGGAGGCAGAAGAGAGGCGGAGGCGGAGGCGGAGGAGTCAAATCTAAGCAGATTCGCCGAAGGCCCTAATGGCTGCGTTCGCATGCGCCCACCGCGCTCATGTCGGCACACCCCTTCGTGGTGCCCACGGGAGGCCGACTTGATGCGTTCGCATGCGCCCGCCGCCCCAATTTGGCACATCATCCCTCACACGTTTCGTGGCCCCATAAGGAGCTCCACCGAAAGCTGCGTTCGCATGGGCCCACCGCGCCCATCTCGGCACACTCCTCAGACGTTTCGCGGCCCTACAAAGAGGTCCACCGAAAGCCCGACTGGCGCGTTCGCGCGCGCCTGCCGCATTCTTTCCGGCACACCCCTCACACGCTTCGTGGCCCCTGAGGCAGCTCCACCGAACGCCTCCGTGGCTGCGTTCGCATGCGCCCACCGCGCTCATTTTGGTACACCCCTCACACGTTTCGTGGCCCCTAAGGCAGTTCCGCCGGAGACCCCAGTGGCTGCGTTCGCATGGGGAAGGGAGGGAAGGAGGAAGGGAGGGAGGGAGGGAGGAAGGGAGGGAGGAGGAGGGGGAGGAGGAGGAGGAGCCAAGCATTCGCATGTTGAGGAAGATGATGAGGGGCGTCCGGTTCCCCGCGACGTCCTGCAGAGAGAGCACCTTCTGTAACGCCTCGTTGCCACTCTCCGCCTCGTGGACGCGGCTCTCCTGGAACCCAAAGCGCCTCAACGCACTTGCGGCCGCAGCCCGGCATATGTCCTGGCCGCAGGGGGGCGACGAGACGACGGAGGAGAGAGAGGGGGCGGACAAGGGAGGGGGGGAGGGAGCGAGGGAGGGGGGGAGAGAGGGGCGGGGGGAGGGAGGGAGGGAGGGGGGGGAGGGATGAAGGGAAGGAGGGAGGAAGCGAGGGGGGGGAGGTAGGAGGAAAAGGAGGAGAGGGAGTACTAGTAGTAGTCGTAATACTTGTAGTAGTAGTAGTAGTAGTAGTAGTAGCAGTAGCAGTCGTAGTCGTAGTCGGAGTCGTAGTCGTAATCGTAGTAGCAGTAGTAGTAGTAGTAGTAGTAGTAGTAGTAGTAGTAGTCGTAGTAGTAGTAGTAGTAGTAGTAGTAGTAGTATTAGTAGTAGTAGTAGTAGTGATAGTAGTAGTGGTAGTAGTACTGGTAGTAGTGGTGTAGTAGAGGTTGTAGTACAGGTAGTAGTAGTAGTAGTAGTAGTAGTAGTAGTAGTAGTAGTAGTAGTAGTAGTAGTAGTAGTAGTAGTAGTCGTAGTCGTAGTAGTCGTAGTAGTCGTAAGTAGTCGTAGTAGGTCGTAGTTAGTCGTAGTCGTAGGTCGTAGTGTAGTGTAGTAGTCGTAGTAGTTCAGGAGTAGTAGTAGTAGTAGTAGTCGTAGTAGTAGTAGTAGCTGGTAGTAGTAGTAGTGGTAGTAGTGGTGTAGTAGAGGTTGTAAGTAGAGTAGTAGTAGTTAGTTAGTTGAGTAGTAGTAGAGTAGTAGTAGGAGTAGTCGTCGTCGTAGTAGTCGGTA